CCGTCTCTCCCCCAGTCTGCACTGATGGCATCATGAAGGGTTCACTGTGATCAGCTGACAGAGGAAGAGACAATTAGGGTCTGGTTCACAGATAGTTCTACACAAAATTCAGGCACCACCCAAAGTGGACAGCTGCAGCACTACAGCCCCTTTCTACGATATCTGGGAAAAACAGTAGTGAAAAGAAATCTTCCCAGTGGGCAGAACTTTTGAGCAGTGCACCTGGTTGTGCACTTTGCATTGAAGAAGAAATGGCCAGATGTGCAATTATATACTGATTCATGGGCTATAGACAATGGTTTGGCTGAATGGTCAGGGATTTGGAAGAAGCATAATTGGAAAATTGGTGACAAAGAAATTTGGGGAAGAGGTAAGTGGACAGACTTCTCTGAATGGGCAAAAATGGTAAAGATATTTGTATCCCATGTGAGTGCTCACCAACGGGTGACCTCAGCAAAGGAGGATTTTAATAATCAAGTGGATAGGATAACCTGTTCTGTGGACATGATTCAGCCTCTTGCCCCAGTCAACCCTGTAATCACACCATGGGCCCATGAACAAAGTGGCTGTGGTGGCAAGTATAGAGGTCACATATGGGCTCAAAAACATAGACTCCAACTCATCAAGGTTGACCTGGCTATGGCCACTGCTGAGTGCCCAATTTTGCCAGCATCAGAGATCAACACTCAGCCTTCAATATGGCACCATTCCTCAGGGTGATCAGCCAGCTACCTGGTGGCAGGTTGATTACATTGGACTTGTTTTATCATAAATGGGTGCTGCCATAGGAGATTAACATTTGAGTCAGTGGGTTTGGGAAGGCAGTTCCACCCTTAATCTGGGTAGACACCATCTAATCAGCTGCCATTAAATGTAAAGCAGGCAGAAAAACATGAAAAGACTAGACTTTTCTAGTCTCCAAACTTATATCTTTCTTCTGTGCTGGAACTTTCCTGCCCTCAAACATTGGACTCCAAGTTTGTATATATATCTGTACTATTTGTCTGTCCTTCTAGAGAACCCCAATATATTCTTGAGCATTCAGATACCTTCTTTGGTAAACTGTCAAGTTCTTTACTCATTTTGAAACTGATCTGTACATGTAACCCCTGACCTAAAATAAAAGCTGATATTATTCTTTAAATATGAGTTTCTTTTTGTTTAGTTGGAGTTTTTAAATATTCTGTATATTAACTCTTTATCTGACATATGACTTATATTTTCTCCTATTCTACAGAGCACCTTTTCACTCTGTTGAATGTATCCTTTGATGTATAAAAATTTTTAATTTTCATATAGTCTAATTTATGTATTTTTACTTTTTTATGGTGTTTTTGGTGTCATATCCAAGAAATTGCCAAATTCAATGTTATAAAATTATTGTTCTGTGTTTTTTTCTAAGAGTTTTATAATCCTAGCTCTTAAGTTTAGATCTTGGATCTATTTTGAGTTAATTATTGTATATGGTGTGAGGTAAGGGTCCCACATCATTCTTTTGTATGTGGATATCCAGTTTTCCCAGCACCACTTGTTGAAGACTATGCATTCTCCATTAGAATGCTTTTAGCACCCTTGTTGAAGATTTCTGACCAAATATGCAAGTGTTTGTTGTCGGGCTCTCTATCCTATTCCATTGGTCTATATATCTGTCTTTATGCCAGTACCATATTGTTTTGACTACTGTAGCTTTGTAGTAAATTCAGAAATCAGGAAGTGTGAAACCTCAACTTTATTCTTTTTCAAGATTGTTTCGGGTATGTGGGATTTCTTGATATTCCATATAAATTTTCAAAAATAATTTTTTATTTCAGCAAAAAAAAAAATCATTGGGATTTTGATATAAATTGCATTAAATCTGTAGCTTGATTTGGGTAGTACTTAGATTTTAACAATATTAACTTTTCTAATTCATGAACACAGGATACCTTTCCCTTTATTCATGTCTAATTTCTTTCAGTGACTTTTTTTTGTTTTCACCGTACAAGTCTTTCACCTTTTTTGTTATGTTCATTCCTAAGTATTTGATTATTTTTAGTGCTATTATAAACGAAATTGATTTCTTAGTTTCCTTTCAGATTGTTCATTGTTAGCATATCAAAACATAATTGATTTTTGTGTGAAGATGTGGTGATTCTGTATCTTGCAACTTTGCTGAATTCATTTATTATTTATAATAGGGTTTTTTCATTTGGAATATTTACAGTTTTCTATATGTAAGATCATATCTGCAAACAGAGGTAATTTTTCTTCGTCCTGTTCAATTTCAGTGCCTTTTATTTGTTTTTCTTGCCTATTTGCACTGGCCAGAGGAAGTGTTTCTTCATTTTTTTTTTTTTTAAGAAATTTGGGAAAGGATTGATGTTAATCACTCCTTAAATATTTGATAGAATTCATCTATGAAGGCATCTGGTCCTTGGATTTATTTTATTGGTAGGTTTTTGATTATTAATTCTATCTCTTTACTTGTTAAAAAGTCTATTCAGATATTTTATTTCTTTTTGAGTTGGTTTTGGTGTTTCATGTCTTTCTACAAGTTTCTTCATTTCATCTAGGTTATCAAATTTGTTGGCACACAATTCTTCATATTATTTTCTTATAAGTCAATTTATTTAAAGTTGGTAGTAACATCCCCACTTTCCCTTCTGATATTAGTAATTTATGTCTTCCTTTTTTCCTCCCTTCTTACCTTCCTTTGTTCCTTCCTCTGTTTCTTTCTTCCCTCCCTCCCTCCCTTCCTTTCTAATATAATTTGTGCCTGTATTCCTTTTTCTCTTTTCTTCCACCTTCCCTCCTTTCTCCTCTCCTCCTTTTCCTTCTTTCCCTCCCCTTCTCTCTTCTTCTCCTTTCTCTTCCCTCCTTCTTTCCTTTTCTCCCTTCTCTCCCTTCTCTTCCCTCCTTCTTTCCTTTTCAATCTAGCTAAACAAAGGTTTGCCAATTTTGTTAACCTTTTTAGATTCTCACTTTTGGTTTTGTTGGTTCTCTGTATTATTTTCTATTCCTTATTTTGTTCACTTCTGTTCTAATCTTTATGATTTCCTTCTGTTTACTTTGGTTTTACTTTGCTCTTTATTTTTCAAAACGTAAAGTTAGACTATTTTGAAATTTTTATCCTTTTTAAATGTAGGTATTTACAGCCACAAATTTTTCTCTGAGTGCTGTTTTTTTATTGCATCCTATAATTTCTGGTATTTTTTTTCTTGTTTTCATTCATCTCAAAATATTTTCTAATTTTCCTCATGCTTTCTTATTTGATTCATTTGTTAAGAGTGTGTTTAATTTTCACATGTTTATGAAACTATAGTTTTCTTTCCATTATTGATTTCTGGTTTCGTTTCACTGCAGTCAGAGAAGATATTTTGTATGATTTTAGTCTTTTAAATTTATTGAGTCTTTTATTATGGCCTAACATATAGTCTATACTGGAAAGTGTTCCATGTATACTTAGGAGGAAACTACATTCTGCTGTTTTGGGGTGAAGTGATTTATACAGGTGTGTTACATGTAGCTGGTTTGGTGTTGTTCAAATCCTCCATTTCTTTAGTTTCTGTTTAGTTACTCTATTCATTATTGCAGATGGGGTATTGAAGTCTCCAACTATTACTGTGTAACTGTTATTGTGTATTTTTTTCTTTACTTCTGTCAGTTGTTGCTTCTTATTATTTGGGGCTCTCTTATTACATGCGTATATTTTACAACTGTTACATATTCTTCCTAAATTGACCTTTTGTCTCTTGTAACATTTTTTGACTTAAAGAATCTCTGCTGTATGATATTAGTGTAGCCACTCTTACTCTGTTTTGAATACTATTTACTAGGAATATCTTTTTCTAGCTTTTCATTTTCAACCTATTTTTATCTCTGGTTCTTAAGTTAGCCTTGTATAAGCAACATAAAGGTAAGTCACAAATTTTTAACCATTCTGTCAATCTCAACCTTTTAATTGAATAGTTTAATCAATTTATGTTTCAAGTAATTACTTATTATGAAGAACTTCTGTCATTTTGCTCTTTATGTCCTTCACACCTCATATGTCTGATGTTCCTCAATTCCTACATTATTGCCTTTCTCTGTAGTTGATTTTAATGTTCTTATGCACCATTTTGGTTCCATTGAGGAGAAAGTATTTTTCCTAATATTTGGAGGCTGGAAAGTTTCCCCTATTGTTATTTTTATACCTTGGAATCTATCCTGGTTTGGAGTAGTTACACATTATAAATGCCTGATATGATCACAAATTCTTTCATGAATCCTTACAAATATTGCATGAAACATCTGCATTCAAGATAACACAGTCTGACAATAATTGATTTAACTATTGTGCTTTTTTGTCAGAGTTGTATTTCAAGAGTCTCACTGGAATGAATAACAACATTAAATAAATAAACACTGGTGTCAAAATAGTAGTTTCATTGAATTAAACTAGATGAGGCCTCAGAATCCAAGCGAGTTCTTGTTTTCTAATTATATCACCAATACAGGTAGTGGTTTCCCAGTCTTTTTAAAATTTGAGATACTCTGTCACTCAGGCTGGAGTGTAATGGCACCATCACAGCTCACTGCAGCCTCAAACTCCTGGGTTTAAGTAATCCTCCTGTCTCAGCCTCCTGAGTAGCTGGAAACACAGATGTGCTCCACCATGCCCAGCTAATTTAACAATACTGTGTAATGACAGAGTCTCACTTTGCTGCCTAGGCTGGTCTCAAACTCCTGGCCTCAAGCAATTCTCCCACGTAGGCCTCCCAAAATGTTGGGAATACAGGCATGAGCCACAGCACCCAGTTGCCTTCCTAGTATTAAAGATATCCAGAGCTGGTGATTCCCAAACTCCTTCAATAGCCTATCCTACCCTCAGTTTACCTTTATCACTAGGAGTTCTTTAAGATTACCCTGACTCTTTTGTAATGGAAGTTTATTTGCTCCTCCTTTTGTCCTCTTCTTGCTTTATTGTCATTTCTACTTTTCTCTGTTCTTGTCCTTTAAGAAGTAACCAATATACTTACCTTCTGGTTTGGCTGCTGTGGGAGTGTAAAGATAGACTTCCAGTAGGTCCAGGTAAAGAACACAAAGATGGCATGGTAGAGTATGAGGTAGACAACTGAAATTTAAAAAAAAAAAAATCAGTGTTTATACTATCTTTTTATCCATTTCTAAGAGTTCAAAAACACAAAGCTCCATGACAAACATTTACTTTGTTTTCCTATTAACATGTATTCTCTGATATTTTTATGAAGTGTTAATTCTATTTTCCCATATAATGACAGAAACAAGTCATAATGCCAAATTTTAAACAAAGACTTTCTGCAAGTTGCATACCTTAAAAGTTGCCATGTGTTTCTCGAAGTAAAAGGGGAAATGTCCTTTATGACAATGTAGGGAAAAGTACTTCGGTCAATTGTCATTATCTTTTCTACTTTGGGTACTGAAAGGTGATAATGACACAATTTACACAGCACTTTAGAGTTTACAACATGCTTTCACATATATTATTTCATTTTATTTTCTCAATAAATTTTTAAGATAGGTAATAAGATAGGGATAGTCGATTAAGTACCAGAGGTGGTTGATTAACCAAAGTCACACAGGTTGTCTATAATATAGCCAGGTGTTAAAGGCTAAACACGTTTTTTCTTTTAAAACAATTTGTATAAATTCATGGGGTACAAGTAAGGTTTCATTACATGCATAGGTTACACAAGGTGTAGTCAAGGCTTTCAGAGTATCCATCATCTGAATAATATACATTGTATGCATTAAGTAATTTCTCATCATCTACCCCCCACCCCCTCAACCATACCAGTCTCTATTATCTATCATTCCACAGTCTATGTCCATGTGCACACAGTATTTAGCTTCCACTTATGAGTGAGAACATGAGATATTTGTTTTTCTGTGTCTGAGTTGTTTTGCTTAAGATAATGGCCTCCAGTCCCATCCATCTTTCTGCAAAAGACATGATTTCATTCTTTCTTACTGCTGACTAGCATTCCATTGAAGATTATATATTTTTGATTTGCAGGTTGTACTTTTGAGAGTTTTAAAAGTGGCTCTCCACTGCCTTTGTTTTCATACTGTTTGCCTTTTAGATAGGTCTTCTCATATGGGATATTTTGGTATTCTCCAAAGAGGCGGTTATAAGACTGCAAGACTGTGAGTCCTTGAATGGCATGGTCTTACTACTTCAATCCATCAGAAAGACTCAAGGGAACAATGTGACTCAAGACCAACTTAATGAGACTGAGCCTCTCATACATTTATAATTAAATTAGAAAGAAAAATCCCTACTCTCCTGGCCCAGTGCTTCCAGCCCTATAGGACAAGACCTTTTATATATGCTTGATTTTTGTAATTATGAAATCTCATTTTAAAATTCAATTAATATAAAGTAAAAGGTAAATGTCCACCTCACACATTCATCTAACTTCTTACTTCCCGATTCTAAGGCATAACACCTCTTTGGTGTTTGGAATGCATCATTCTAGATCTTCTTATTTTTATATATTTATCAAATATATGTACACCGCAAACATGAAAGTTTTGTAATATTTTAACATTTTTCATTGTATCGTTTTTCAAAGGTAATATATTTACAAGGTTACCTGATGGTATAGAATACTATACAGTGAAAAGTCTCGCTCTTATACCTGTCCCCTAGCCACCCAGTTCTCTTCTCTGGAAGCAACCAACATCAAAAAGCCATGAATTTGTTATGTATCCTTTAAGATTTTATACATACAAAATCATTCAAATAGTGTTTTTTTCCACAAATAGCAATATTCTATACACACTGTTTTGTACCTTCTTTCTTTTTCACTTACTGTAAGTTACCATGATTTATTTAACCAGGCTGTCTCTAAGGAATGTTTTTTCCCCTTCTCTTGCTAATACAAATAATGCTTCAATGAATAATTTTTATATGTCATCAGCACATGCACAAACAATATCTATAGGATCTATTCTCTGAAGCACAAAGTCAAAAGGGATGTCTTTTGGTAGATACTGCCAAACTGCCATTAAGAATATTTGTATTTAATTTATATTCTCACCATCAATAAGTGAGAGTGACTCTTCCACTGTCCTCTAGAATGCAAGATTTTTTCAAGAGTTGCATCCAATGTTGAGCTGGCTACCCCCTGGGATTGTCTCTAGTCTAGCCTTTGTGAAGTGTTATCATAATTTTTTTTTCTCTTAAGCAATGCCTTTAAATGATTTTTTAATGTGTTGTCTTTTGCTATTGTTTTGTTTTCTTTGATTTTCTGAGGTTTGTATGGGGAAAATTGTATGACTAAATTATGTTAATCCATGTTCCTTCGGTATGGAATTGGAGCATGAAATCCTTGATTTTTAAAGAGATCAGGAGAAAACAATTTCATGTTTACCCTTTCATTATACACTTCAAGGGTAATGCAATTAACCAATTTGGATCAACTAAGTGACTGAGAACTGAACACTAACATTTGGCAGTATCTTAAGGGCATTAACGATATTTGTAATTCCAATGATTGAGATGGGGAATGTGGGACTTTAACATGTTCCAGGTACTACTACACATCAACTAGTTCAATCATGGAACTGGAAACAGCTGGCTCTCATCCCTATGTTACAAGATTTCATAGAAATTATGGGTACTTTTAAATAAATGGGTAGAAAATGAAGGATTTTGAGGTTGAATGACTAAGTCGAGGTCATTCTATAGACTGGTAAAATAGGAACTATACCAATATTTTAGAGTATGGTGAGACCAAAGAGATTATTTGGTTCAGCAATCTCATTTTACAGAGAAGTAACTGAGGCCCAGAGGGGCAAGTGATTTGATCAGAATTACCCAGCAAAGTTATGGAAGCAATGGAACCAGAATCCAAGTTTCTTCAGTCCCAGTCCAGAGTGCTTTTCCTTAGCGCAGTGATTCTCAAATTTCAGTTTGCATCAAAGCCACCCGGAAGGGTTATTAAGATGCAGACCAAGGGAAAATTTGTCAGCTAGACAGTCACATCTCTCTTTGAGCGTAACACTTAGCAATGAGGTGTTAATTCTAATATTTGAGTTCACTGTTTCACTTTACTTTCTTTGTTTTACCAACTCTAACAAAAAGCTAGACCTTGTTTTTCAGCTATTTAAAGGAATGAAGATAATGGGGAAGAGACCCATAAGGTGTGCCCAAGGATATCATTCTCATGACAGTACAAGAATTGTTCAAGGGTTGTTTTCCAACAGACACTGGAGACTGCTGTGGGGGGGTTGGGGAGCAAGGGTTGAAAAACTACCTATTGGGTACTATGCTTACTACTTGGGTGATGGGATCAATTAGACCCCAAACTTCACCATCATACAATATGTCCAGCTAACATACCTGCACACGTACCCCCTGAATCTACAAGAAAAGTTGAAAATATTTTTTAAAAAGAGTTGTTTCCGTGATTTAGCTACCCTCTAGAATTCAAGATTTTCTCAAGAGTTGTGTCCAATGTTTACCTGGCTACTGGCTGGGAGTATCTCTAATGCTGCAATCAAATTCTGGTGCTAATACATGATATTATCTTTAGAATGGGCTTAGTTTTCCTCATGATATCCACTTCAAAAATTAGGGTTGTCTTCCAGGTATCCTAATTTCTTCTAATTATCCATTAGGCCTCTACTACTCACCAATTTACATAAACCTTCTACGAAGCTGGTTAGATTATCAATTATCTGGGAATAATGGGTCTCATAAGTTTGCCAGGCACTGTGCAAAGCAGAGCTTCATATTAGTTGTCTTAAACAGCAGTGTTAAGTTTCAAAGAGCTTTCTAGTCCCCGTGTATTGGAGTCCGGTGAATGACATCAATCTAACAAAATACATAAACTTCTTATGTTTATAAACTTTAATGATAGTCCCTTTCAGATTTTGTTTGTTCCGTGCTGACAAAGTCTCTACTTTTTTTCTGTTTTGGGCATTAAAGTGTTGTGCAAAATACAGTGGATTTAGAACCAAGATGACTAGGTTTTGAACTCTAGATTTGCCCTTAATAACTATGGGTATTCAAGAAGCTGGTTTACCTTGCTGATAATCGTATGTGTACATATATGATCACATGTATGTATATGTGTGTGTATGATTAAAACACCTGCTTGTCAAAGTTGTTGTGATAATTGACTTAAGTGTGTGAAAGTAACTGACATTCTCTAAGTACTTAATAAACCTGTTTCTTCCTCTCATTTCTTCTTAAATCTTAGTGATTTGTTTTCTGAGACATGGTGATAAAAATTACACAGATTTTGTGGGCAGATGAACAATGGTTTTGTTAAAAAAGAGAAAAAATGGGCCAAGCATGGTGGTTCACACATGTAATCCCAGCCCTTTGGGAGGCTGAGGTGGGAGGATTGGCCTGGGCAGAAAAGTAAGACCCTATCACTACAAAAAATTTATCTGGGAATGGTGGCATGTGACTGTAGTTCCAGTTACTTGGAAGGCAGAGATGGGAAAATCATTTAAGCCCAGAAATTTGAGGCTGCAGTGAGCTATAATGGCACCACAGCACTCCAGCCTGGGTGATATAGTGAGACCCTGTCTCTAAAAAAATAAAAACTAAAGGAAAAAAAAGTTTATTTCTAGTCCTCTTGTTGATAATGCTGACCCAAGTTTCACTGATTCATTGATCTTGGGTATAAGAAAGTACACAGGTCAATATCCGTTGGGGAATAATCTTTGGCTTCTTTCCTGGTTTAAAATGGATAGTTGAGATATTACTATTCTGCATGTATAATTTGGATCAGGTACAGCCCAATGCATTCAAGTTGTCAGGAATATTCACAGAAGACTGAAAAAACAAAAACAAAAACAGAGAATTTCTATTGCCTGTATGGTGAGTAGAGATTTGTAAGCTACTTCTCTGCTGGCTGAGCAAGTGTAAGGGATTCTACCAATCACAACGTGATACCCTCAGAATTTATTACATTTTGCTGATGCCACCAATAATTCCTCTATCTCCTTAATATGATGTTGACTTAATTTATGTTAATTTCATACATTTTCAGAGTTGGAATAAAATAGTATAATATGAATGCTAGGTTAACAAATTATAACAATTAATTCCCCTGACATTAGAATTAAAAGTGGCTATATAAAGTGGCTACATAAACATTCATGGTTATTACTGATAAAATAATGTAAAGCTAAAGGTTTATTAGGCTAATGATTAGCTTATACTTTCTTAAATGGAAAATGCCACAATCTCTTTAGAAAGGTAGTATATTTTGCTGGTCAAGCCAAGGTGGTGGTGAGGAGTGGAGAGAAGCACAATAAATTTATTGGAACTGTGACGGTGAAGGAGTTAGGCTATAAAGTCCCATCTGGGGCCTTTACTCCATGCCTTAAAGAGGAAATGGATTGGGCAGAAAGGCAACATACCTAGGACAACAGTGAAGAAAGAGACAGCCTAGGGTCACTGTGTCAGAGTCTTATCTGTGTCCTTCTCCATCATAAATCCTGATAATTTTCCATTCTTGTCCTACAGCCAAAGGGGTCATTGAAAATGTTCTGCTGGGCAAGCTTCCCGAAATCCATCATTCTAAACTTTCTCTTCACCTAAGTGTATTCCTGGGAAAATTGCTCAGTCTATAGGCTTTTATGTAATTTACTTTTAGATGAAAAAAGTACACAGTCCTGATCGATACAATTTACAACACCCTCTTACCTTTTTCTGCTGGGCTCAAAACAGTCACTGTGAAGAAAGAAAGGAATGAGAGAGAGAGCGAGAGGAAAGAGAGTAAGAAAGAGAAACAGAGAGACAGATATAGATGAGAGAAGGGAGAGAGAGATAAATTAGTTATATTTAAAAATCTTGTCTAACTCATTTTCCACAGCATCATTGGAGTAATTTATATAATAGTACTTTAGAAAACCACCAGCCAAAGATGAGGGAAGGCAAGGATAATTACATTCCATCCTTTGCTATCTTCCTTCATCTTAAACCTTCAGCAAGGCTTTCAATTGTAACAAGCTATTTAATCAAGATGATTTTCAATGTCTCTTTCTCCATTGGGCTCTAACAAGCCAGGTAGAGATCCAGCAATAAAAGGCATATATAAACATGCTTTCTTTAAAAAACCAAAACAAAACAAAAGATGGTTTTCATACAAAATGATCAACAATTAAGGATCAGAAAAATAGGGAAAAAGTCTAAACAGAATGAGACTATGTTCTATGGGTTATTTCCTCAGATCTTTCATCAGTCATACTTTCTTTTGTTTCTTCACATATAGGTCTATTTTATTGAGTCTTAAAAATTCTCCTTTTAATTATTATTTGAGTGGGTTTGTTACAACGGTTACATTTCATCTGTGTTAAAAATCTGACCAAACGATGTTTTTCTTTTTTCTAATAAACCTGCCTGAAGACTGATACTAACTCCTTGTTGTTGTTTTCCAGTTAAACAATCAATACTGGTTAAGAATGCTTGAAAAAGGCACATACTCTACTTTCACAATACAAATGGAAGTGGCAACAAGAAGTATTGATCAGTCAACTTGGGACTTCATGATTTTGTATATGCATGCTGCATGGCTGCATTGATTCCACTAGGCCCTGAATCAGGCTAGTAACATCTTATTTTTTAAAACTTTAAAATGAAGTGAGAGGGAAAGCAAAGTTACTTGGAGACCAATATTAATAAGGAGTAGCTGATAAATTGCTGTTTGCTATGTTTCCTATCCTTGGCTGAACACTTGCTGCTAAACAAGAACTGGATGTTTTAACTCGCATTTGCTTGGCTGCTTACTAAAGCACTGTGGGTTAGGGAAGATTACTTAGTACCTGTAGATAGTAGGATGAGACATGTTTATACAGAAGAAGAACTGGGAGCCAGTGGGGGAGCCAGTGGGAGCCAGCTGTTCTACAGCAGGGGGAACAGCTATCTGTAAGTAACTGCAGAACTTTTAAGTTCAAATGAGATTGGTTTATATGCCCCAGAGCAGAGGGCAGAAATAGAACCATAGGTTAAACATGCATGTTAACACATTTTAGCTCAGTATGAGAAAAAATGATGACAACGATAATGACGATGACAACAACGAGCAACCTAGGGAAAAAGTGTTTCCCATTGTATACACTTGGAAATGTAGAGAACATTCAGACATTAGTTTCACAGTGGACTTGACTTGTAAAGTCTTCATTACCTCTGAAATTGTGTAGGAAGTAAGTAAGTCTAAGGGAAAAATTTGTACATTTAGCCATTCTACAGGTAACTTGCCATACAGATTTTAGAGTGATGTGGTGATTCATGTAATTACACACTGCTCTGTTTCTTCAAGTTTCATTCACTACCAGGGAGCTAAATGATCAGAGTTACCATCAAATAGCTTTTTACACTGCCTCTCCATTTTTCTTTCATTATTTACTGATTCTTTGCAAGTAGGTATGGAGAAAAGTTAAGAAAGGGTGGTGTATATGGAATGATTTTTCATCACAGACAACTGGTGTTAAAACTAAAGAATAGTTTATAATTTCCTTTAAATAGGTGCATATTGTAGTGTTCACAGAAATGTACAAGAAGAAAAAGCCTAATTTGGGGCTAGATGGAAATGGTCAACAATCGTAGAAAGGACATGGAAGAAACTCTACAGCAGTGCCATCCAATAGAAATTATGTGAGCCAGGTAGTTTAAATTTTCTAATAGGAACATTTTTTTTAAGCTAAAGAATACCAAGTGAACTTAATTTAAAAAATATATTATACCAATATATCATAACATTTTCATTTCAACATGTTAGCTACATAAAAATTATTGAGATAGTTTATATTCTTTTTTTAAACTAAGTTTTGGAATGTTGGTGTATATTTTATGCTTTCAGAACATCTGAGTCCAGACGACACAGTTCAAGTGTTTACTAGCCACATGTGGCTAGTGGCTACAGAATTAGTACAGTTCAAAAGGGATTTGTGAAAGGAGAGTACAAAGTTTGAAAATATAAGGAGTCCAGTGAGATGAGTGCTCACTTACAACATGAAGATCTTTTAGAATTAACGATATGTTTGGGAAGGGAGTTTATTATAATGATGTACAGCATATACTTTGGCATGTATTCATATTTTGGCTCTTGACACTTATTCTCTGACCTTGGTCAAGTTAATTAATCACTGTATGCCTCAGTTTCCTCACCTGTAAAATGAAGATAAAATTGTTTATGTTATCAGATTGTTATAAGGATTAAGTAACAAAATATGTGTAAAGCACTTGGGTGCTTTGCACATAAGTACTTAATTATCGTTAGCAATTTATTATCATTTTTCTACAAAAAAGAAATTGTTTAGTCAGATTACATTTTACAATAAGTTTAGGACAAAATAATTCTGATTTTTAAAAAATGTTATGGTTCCCAGAGTTACATATGATGGTTTTGAAATAATTTATTCAATGTCAAAATAAATGACTTTGATTCCCCCCACTTTTTCACTTAGCTGTTTCTCAGATTCTAGGTTAGGAGAGAGAAAAGAATTTGAAAGAGGGAACCGAGACACATTTCTGAGTGTCTTCTGTTGAAAGAAAGCTAATCAGGCCAGTCTTTATTTACTGCTTTGAAAAAATTACTCACAACAGGCATTCATTAACTTTTAAGGCAATCCTTCTCAAACCCGGATGATCTTAATACTTACTTAGGAAGCATAATAAAAATATAGATTCCAGGGCTCTCTTCACATAACAAAGCTTTAGGTAGAGGTGCAGAAATTTATATTTACAAACCTCAGCAGGTATTTCTGAGTTAGGTTTAAAAACCATTGGAATTATGTTAGGAGTTTGTTACAATAAGTTACTAGTCAGGTCTGATACATTTACCTGTTTGTCATATGAATGACACAAAACTATTTTAGATGTGGTAATACCATGATTCCTATAGGCTTGAATGGATACCTTTTACTTCTAGAGAAACTTGGTTTCTAGAAAATGTTTCTTCTGTTTTTTTCTGCCTGATCAGTTTTTATTTCTTCTCTCTTTGAAGAATTTCTACCTTTTGAGTAGAATTACATCATAGATATTTTTATGTTTTAACCTCAGAATGAATAATGTTGAACACCCAAACTGAGAGTACTTCAGACTTACATCCCTCCTCAAAAGCAACTAATGAGCTGGCAAAAACTGTCAGAAAAAATTTTGAAGAACTCTGGAATCTAGTAAAATTGTTACAACAACCAGAGAGGAAGACTTGGTGAAGAAAAGAACTGATACTTTGTAGTAAGAGGACACTGTGACATTTTAAATTGGCTGCCTGCCATCTTCCACATTCCAGATCAGCAGAGGCTGTGAGGACAGCTGCCTACACTCTAATATATACAATAATAAAGCCTACACTCTAATATATAGCCTATATCCAAACATACTAACATACACATAACAGGGCATCCAAAGTGAGGGGAAAGAGAGAACAAAACAGAAAGAGCATTTGAAAAAAATGATGGCTAAAAACTTTCACACATTCGGTAAAAAATAAGAATTTAACATCCAAGAAGTGCAATGAACTCCACATAGAATAAACTAAAGGATATTCACAATTAAGACACATTATAGTCATATTGTCAAAAGACAAAGGGAAAATCTTGAAAGCAGAAAAAGTGGTTTTTTACATACAAAAAATAATAAGACTAACAGCTTATTTCTCTTGAGAACCCACAGAGGTTAAAAGGCAGTGAAATGTCATAAATTGCTAAAAGAAAAATAAAAACATCTGTCCACCTACAACTAGAATTCTACATCCAGCAACACTATACTTCAAAGAATGAAAGAGAAAATAAGACATTCCCAGATAAACAAAACTGAGGGAGCTGATCACTAGTGGAACTTCCCTACAAGAAATGCCAAAGGGCATTCTCCAGAAAAACTGAAAGGGCACTCATTGTAACCAAGGCTATACAAAGAAACAAAAAACACTGGTAAAGGTAACTACATAGGTAACTACAAAAGCAAGCAATACTGTGTTTTAGTTTTTTTAAAACTTTTTTATTTACTATCTAATTTAAAACAAAAATTCATAAAGCCACAGTGATAAATCTGCATTAAGGCGTATACAACGTATAAAGATGTAATGTGCGACAATAACAGCATAAAGGGGGCAACAGAGTTGTAAAGGGCTAGAATTTGTATACTATTAAATTAAGTTGGTATTCAACAATAGATAAGCCAAGGGCCAAATCAGGAAAGCAATTCCATTCACAATTGCCACATAAAGAATAAAATACCTAAGAATGCAACTAAACAAGGAGATGAAAGATCTCTACAAAAAGAATTACAAAACACTGCTCAGAGAAATCAGAGATGACACAAATGGGAAAACATCCCATGCTCATGGACAGGAAGAATCAATATCATTAAAATGGCCATATTTCCCAAAGCAGTTTAGAAATTCAATGCTATTCCTATCAATCTACCAATTACATTCTTTATCAAACTGCAAAAAAACTATTTTAAAATCCATATGTAAGCAAAAATGAGCCCAAATAGCCAGGGCAATCCTAAGCAAAAAGGGCAAACCTGGACTCATCATGTTACCTGACTTCAAACTATACTACAGGGCTACAGTAACGAAAAAGGCATGGTGCTGGTACAAAAACAGACATATAAACCAAAGGAACAGAATAGAGAGGCCAGAAATAAGGCTGCACACCTATGACCATCTAACCTTTGACAAAGGAAACAAAAGAAAGCCATGGGGAAAGGACTCCCTAGTCAAT